TTGACTTTTCCAACAGTGATAATTATAAAAGGATTTAACTATATTACAGTAGATAACTTGAAAAAAAATAGTGTATTAATATTTCAAAAACTCTTAAATGAAGTTAATACTTATAATAATTCTGAATTTAATTATATTATTCTTCAAATATATAATTCAAGCTCTTATTTTTTGCATAATAACAAATTTAATATATTGAATCCATAAAAAAATTCAATAAGTAGAAGAACTTTACTATATAAATACATCAATTTTTTCAAGTTATTAAATATATCAATTATTTTATTTTATATAAGTTGTATAGTAGGTATACTACTACTTGATCTTTTTATAATATTTAATAAACTAGAAATTATACTTAAAAAAGAATAAATATATTAAAAATTCTTCTTTTATAATGTGTTTATTTTAATTATAATTCTAATATTAATTTGATAATCTTTTTTGACAAATAATTAATCATAATTAAATTGCAATTCTCTAATTAAATATCACAAATCACAATTAATTAAGATATTATCTTTAAACTAGATATATTATCTACAAGTATTATTATATATTATTATTAAATTCAAAAATCAATATCAAGATATTGTAACCAATTATTAAAAATATTATTTCTTATCCAGATTTTAGAATTTGTTTTATATATTATAGGAAGAATTAAAATATTGATTCCAAAAAATGCATGTGATTACAAAAATTTACCAATAATAAGAAATTTAAGTTTATCTATTTTAGATGTATTAGTTGCAAGCAAAATAGTAATTTAAATTTTGTTCTTAAAATAATTATTAATTAAATAATTATAATTAAAATATATAAATATATTATATATATATATATATAATATTATTTTTTTAGTTTTAGAAACTGGATTAAATGCTAAAATTTTATTAGATATCATATAAAAAAAATAGTTCAGTTTCATTAGTATTATATATATCATTAAGCAAATATAAACTTAATATTTCTTATAATTATTTTTTTCAGTTGGTAATATTTCTATTAATATACTAACTACTTTATCTTGGAGTTTTTGTTGATGAATATAAATTCTTTTTCTAATAGTAATTTTCTATACTAAAATTTTAATATTATTGATAAATTATTTTTAATATTAATTTTGTATTGAATATTTACTTTTCTAGAATTTAATATATTAAACAGATTAGTATTTAGTTAGTAACTAATTTAATTATTATTATTACTTTGTATTTAAATTAGTTTTATTTTTTTTTAATTTGATAAATTAATTTTGATATATGTTTTAGTTATTTATAAACTTAATTATTTTTTTTGATAAGCTAAACAAGTATTAAATAAATTTTTATTTTAATATGAATATTTATTAAAATTGATGATTTTATTTTTAAATATTGAATGGAATATTGAATAATAAAATTATTTTTTATAATTATAGTATAAAATATCTACTTTTTTTATAAAATCATCAAATTTTAATAGTTATTATATAGTAATATTTTATTATATAATTTAATATTAGCCAATTTTTTATAATTTCTTCAAAATTAAAACAAATCAAAAAAATTTCTTATCAAGCAAGCTATAGCTTTATTAAAAAACTATTAATCAGTAAGTGAATTTTTTTATTTAATTCTTGATTCAAAAATTATAAGTCTTTATATAAATATATTAAATTTTCAACTTATATAAAATAGATAATATTCAAACTATTATAATTTTATCAAAAATAAAAATCAAAAAAATTCCTCTTTTTTTTTATTTAATAATTTATTCAAAAGTTATAACATTTTTTGTATTTTTTAAATCTATACAAATTTATGAATATTGATTGTAAATATCAATTATTTATACTGATTTGTAGCTCTGATTATACCCTACAACTTTACTTAGAACTAATTTTTTAGTTCGAATTTGAACTTTAGGAATACTACTTATTTGATCACGTTTCACATGATATTAATTAATCACGATGTTACAAAATTTTTCAAGTTACACGTAAAACAAAATTCAAATTCATTATGAGTAAAAATTTCCGATTTATTTTCTGGGTCGCGCCAACATGAAATCAATAATTCAAATTCTTGTAAACCAGCCAGAAAACTTCACACCTACACTGGCAAAAAGCGGAATAAAAGAACTATTCAAGCCAGAGACCACACCAGCACAAATATCGGCATTTTTAATAGCGCTAAAATTACAAAATAAAGACTCCAATGCGGAAATTGTCGCGGCTTGCGCCACCACAATGCTTGAGTTTGCGTTAACAATTGATTTTAGCGAGTATAAGGGGTTACAAGACTCATTGGTAGATATTGTTGGTACTGGTGGCGACGGTATGAATACTTTTAATGTCTCCACGACCGCGGGAATTGTAGCTGCTGGGGCGGGCTGTAAAATAGCAAAAGTAAGTTTGGTTTATTATAAAAATTTTTAATGCGAAATATAATTTTTTAAATCTGTTATAGTTTGGAAATAGAGCATCATCTTCTAAAAGTGGATCAGCTGATATATTGGAAAGTCTCGGGTGTGCAATTAGCAGTCTAACACCCAGCGAAGCACCTCACATTATCAATAAATCAAATTTCTGCTTCTTATTTGCTCCAGTGTTTCATCCGGCATTGAAAAATGTTGCCGGTCCGCGTCGTGAAATTGGTGTTTCCACGATTTTTAATTTATTAGGACCTTTGTTAAATCCGGCACAACCAAAACGAGTGGTAATTGGTGTGCATTCTAAAAATATTGGCGCGTTAGTAGCTGAATCGTTGCGACTTAGAGGTGCAACAAAAGCAATGGTGGTTCATGGTATAATAGGATTAGATGAGGTGAAAAGATTTAATTTGGCTTTTCCAATATTTGTCAATTTCTGTGCTACAATTAGAATTAAATGTTTGTTTTATATTAGATAAGTCCCGAAGGTGAAACTTGCGTAGGTTTTTTTATCAGCTTCCTATTAATTTGTTACCGTTTTGATTTAACGGTAGTATTGTACAATTTGCACGAATAATAGGTTTGGGAACTTTCTCAATCTAAGATCACCGAATATGTGGTATCTCCTGCTGATTTTGGACTTCCAAATCATCCAATAATTTCTGTAGTTGGAGGAACCTCGGAGGAAAATGCAGCAATTTTGGGCAAATTACTTGAGGGAAATTCCGAGGGACCAATTTTAGACTTTGTCTTGTTAAATGCTGCCGCAGTGCTGGTGGTTGCAGATAAGGCTAGAGACTTTAAAGAAGGTGTGAAATTGGCTCGCGAAAGTATTAAAAGTGGTAGAGCACTGGCAGCCTTGACGGATTTCAGAAAAGCCCTCGATCGTGCATAACGTACACGAGACTTTTTTCTCACGTGGAAGTTTATTATCATTTTTGTTATAGAACGAATTAAAGAAATGGAAAATTATTAATTTATTTCTGGATTTACATTAATAAAATTGTTTATGCTCTATATATTTATATACGTGTATTTTTTTACAAATTGAAATTGATCAAAGATAAATTAAAAACAAAATTATACTTTATACAATATATGAACAAATAAATATATTATTACTTTACAGACTTTTAAGAACATTTTCTATAAAACCAAGAAAAAAGAATGATGTCAATTTATTATCATTAAAATGTCAAAATTCAATTCAAGCAAAAAAAACCTCAATTCTTACCATACACAGTTGGAAGATGATCAAGACTCATTGTCGGGGTGAACCAAATTTCCGAGAATATTTTTTCCACGTCTGTAACTTCAACCATATTATACTTGTGTTCAGTTAATCGTTTATGCCCATCATGAGCACCATTTTCCTCGTCGTCATCGTCACTTGGAAGACAATAAGGAATTCGGTCTTTGCCAATTATCCAATATAGTCGCCCCGCGGGATATAATTTATGTGCACCCATTCGAGAATGAACAGCTTCTCGCATCTTCCAAAAGAACTGTTCGAATTCTTTCTTTTCGGCTTGCCCTCTTTCGTCGTCACTGAATACTCGTGATTGATAGTCGAGCACTTTGGTGATGATGGTACTGGTCAAATCTTGGACACCGTCGTCTTCGGTCTTCTTTGAGCCAAGATAGACAACCATATTTCGAAGATCTCTAACATGACCAATGCTAAGGCGACATATCACGTCATTTCCATACGCAACCGATGTCACAAGAGTTTTAGCACGTTTGGATAATCCAGCAGACATCACACAAGGTGTTGCAAAGGCATATGCATGAACACGACGTCCTAATGGTAGGTGACTCCATCGTGTCGTCATGCGAGTTTTCGGTGAAGCCCAAAGAAGTGCTAATAAACTTGCGATGCCTATCATTGAAAAAATAAGTTATTGTAAAGAACAAAAGGTTATATATCCAAAGATGGGAAATTACATACCGGCTCCTAAAGAATGTCCAATCAACACAAGACCATAATCTTCGTTTTGCTCCAATTCACGTTTCAACTCTTCAAATACTCCTGATTGTCCTGGAGTTGCCAAAGCTTTTGCTACCTTCATCATTCCTTTGTGTACTTTATAACGTGTCAAATCTCCACTTTGAATATCTTCAGGTAATATGAGATCTTCATATTCACATGATAAATCCACAATTAGATCGTGTATTGACATTGTTCCGCGCAATGCGAGAATAATTGATTTCGCCGAGTGATCCCGAATTAAATAATAAGTAGGTGAATAGTGATTGCCGGAGGAAGGAGGATTCTGATGAGAAGAATGAACTATTGATTCTACAGGTAAGTCATTTACTCTTGCAAAAGTGACCCGATGTAGATGAGTTCGATGCCGTTGAAACGGTAATGAATTCATTATTGCTGTCTTTACGTCATAGGCCGTAGAAGAGAATTTCGAGTATCGTTTAAGATTGTGTAATAGTGAATATAATTTTTCCTCTTCAGTTTGATCATTAAATTCATCCATATAAGGATTACTGAAACGTTTGTTGACATCCGACCAAAGTTCACTTAATCTTTTCGAATATAATTCATTGGGTAAACTTAATCGATTATGCTCCGGTTGAGTAAGTTCACCGACCACAATATTATTGCCATCGTTATTGCCATCGCTTTTTGAACTAATCACCACCATTTCTTCATCCTCTTCTTCAACTAGCCAACCAAACTCCTCGTAGATTGAATCGTCATGAGTAATCTCGACCCAATCGTCTACTAAGTCCCAGAGCTCTACCAACTTTACTTTCTTCCATCCACCCATTTCCATCTCCCATCTCGTAGCGGTGACATACTGTAAACACGCCCATGCAGTTAATACTTTAATGACCCGAAAAGCACCAAATGATCCAAGATCTTCTAGTGATTCTTCCCCTTCCTCTTTTGCATTCCATTCTTGCTTAACTAGCTGAACAAATTCTGTTAAAGCTTTCGCAGTTTCAGTAGTTCCAAATAGTGTATCGATTACCGATATACTATCGGCTATTGTGGATATTGTATACTGCACAGTTTCCGAAGTGAATTCAATTCCAGCCAGTGCGATTTGTTCAGTGAATGACAAAGTTTTGTGCAACAAGTAGGAAGAAGCGTCAAGAATCCTTGATAATAAGAATCTTTAGTGAATCAAAAAATTTCCAAATGAGTTGGATGGATTGATAGATTCGAGGAATATTAAACAAGAGCTACTAGAGAGGAATCCATCCAACAATCAAAAAATAATTTAAGATGCAATATAAAAAAGATCAAATACCCGCTATCATTCGCACCAACGCTACGTGTTGAGTTTCTTCTTTCCGTTCTGGCGGTCACAGCTTTAACAATGCCAAGTCCAGCTCGAGTCGACATTTTCACCGTTTCCAAAGCGACTTTTGAAACTAAACCAGCCAAGTCAAGACTCATAATTGATAGATTCGTGATATTTGTGATTTGAACAGCAAGATCAGAGTCAGAACGGCGTATTATGGTTTGTACTTTATTCTCACTGTAAGATAACGACGGAGTATCTGTATCGGTCGTCGTCAATTCGACTTTTCTATCAGTCTCTTCTAATATCAATTCTTTATTTTCTCTATTATCATTTTCATCAATAGCATCAGGTAAATATATAGTTCGTCTTCTATTACTATCAACATTTTTAACATTGATACGGGACAACGGTGAAGAAGTAGTAGTACAAGTATTCGGAAAAGTATCTGCTACTACCACCTCGTTAATGCTGCTAATACTACTGGTTCTGCTCACATTAGTTGACGAAGCAGTGGAGCTAGAAGTCGAAGAAGAAACTTCTTGTTGGTCATTCGATATTCTAATTTGTAAATTCGTATTAGTTTTACATGGACCAATAAGTGTGTCATGTTGGTGGTCTAACAGCTCTTTGTCTTTAATAATTTCTTCTTTTGGCATTATTAAATCTTTTTTTTATTTATTAAATTCTTTTTAAATCCTTTGTAAATCCTTTTTTATTTATTAAATTCTTTTTGAATTCTTTTTATTGTGATTGTTATATCGTAAAGCAATTATGAAAGCAAAACCCAGAATAAAAAGTTTCGAGTACGCCAACTAGACTAACAGCGCGATGGCGATGATGCAATTTATAAACATATGAAAATGCGGATGCATGCGCTTTGCGCGCGGCTCGTACGAGTTGAATACTCAATCTTTAATTCTAGTTCTTTTTTTGAGTTACAAACAACAAAAAAGAGGCGCGTTCTGCGTGACAGTGATAGCCAACAACGTGCTACACGATCTTATTTTCATTAAACGCCATTATCGCCATTCTTGGGGTAAATGCATTATCTTTCCATCAAGTCAACTGCTTAAATGATGTCATCCTCTTGATATACTAATTTCTTCAACTAGTGTGTTCGAAACATGTATGCCAGTTTTTAGAGATGTTAATAATAGGATAAAGCCCTTGATACTTTTCTTCCCGCGCTGCTGGGTTCCTGAGGTATTGTAGTTATTGAAAGGTTTTACGTCTACCTCAAATAGAAATAGACCCGAGTATAAAGAACCATCTAATAGAGTAAAGAGCGCTCGTGATAATGAATAGTGAAGTTATTTAAAAGAATAGCTGAAATGTTGAAAACTTGATTAAATTAGAAATATGTCGGAGGAAATTTACTATATCGAGTTATTAATAAATATTTATATTGAGAGAATTTTTTTACACAAGTTTGAATGACCACAAGATAATAAGTTGGCATTTTTTTCGCTGCTGTTATTCGTGATACAAGTCAACCTCAGCCAGGCCGACCTGGCTGGCCAAAGACGGCCTGCTCGCTTGGCTGTATTTTATTCCTTTGTTGGTAATCTTAAAAATAATTACTAATTATGGGATATAATCATCAATTATCGTTATACATATGTATTAACCGAACAAGATCAACAACGGTGAATCTTATCATTTTTATCGTTAAATAATTCTTCACATAAATTCTTTATAACGAATTTTTAAAAATAATTTACTATTAAATTCAATCACCTCGTTATAAAGAGATTTGACTGTATATACAAATGTCACGAAATAAAAAACGAACTCTAATTTAACGAAAGAAAAAACACGGTTTATAATATATGATCCAAATAGTGCTACACATTCACGTACAAAACACATCCATGTTCTGCATCCACTTCTCCCTGTGAACCTCTTTCTTTATCACTTCCATCTCCTTAAATTTATTTTCGAATTCAGAACAGCAACCTTCTATTCATGTATTATCGACAATTAAACATATACAACCAACAAATCGTAATGAAAGCTGGGTATGGAATTATGTCGATAAAATAATTAATAATGGATATAGATATTGTCAAGTCATGGTAGAACAAAACTATTTGTGGAAATCGTTTTAAATCTTCCTGCTCAACAACTAATATTGGAAACCATTTGAATAAAGCTCATCGAATTTTCGCTGTTAATAATTCTGAATTAATAGAAAATACAACAAAAACTCGGAAGTCTATATCGATATATACAAAACAATATCGACTCATTGTAGCAAGTTTATTAGAATGGATAGTTGAAGATTTGCAACCATTTAATGTCGTCAATCAATACTCCAACATTGATTAATTTATGTAAAATATTAGACGATCGATTTTCTATGCCATGTGTCAGCACGATAAAAAAAATTGGGTGAATACGCAATATTTGCCGAGGAACGTCTATCTTATGAGATAAAACATTCAATAGAAACTTGCAGTTTTACAATTGACCTCTGGACACAATTTCATATTCCGTATATTGGTATAACTATTCATTGGCTAACATCTGATTTTGAACTTCGACAAGGACTTTTAACTATCGAAAAATTTCCTTATGGACATTCTGGTGGTAGGATCGCGGAATTTCTTCGCCTATTATTTTTGAAAAATGGAATATAACAACTAAAATAATTGCAGAAATTAGTGATAATGCAATGAATATGACAGCTGCACTACAACAATTTAATATTAATTATTATGCTCATACGCTTCAACTTGCAATAAATGAAGGTCTTGAGGAATGTCGTGAAATTATTAATAAGGCTAAAATACTTGATAATGCACTTGTTTGTCGGGATAAATATCGGGAAACTCTTCGACGTGTACAGCAATTAATAGTTAATAATAATGTACAATCAAATTCAAAAATTCTCGAGCCAATTCGTGATGTTCCAACAAGATGGAACTCTACTTATGCTGTATTATAACGCCTTATTTCTCTTAAAAATGCTATATATTCTTTAATAGCAGTTCTCAAAAACGATTTAAATTACACAGTTAGAAATGATGGAAATAATTTGGAAATTTTATTATTGGATGATAATGAATGGTCAGCATTGTTCAAATCACGGATATTATCGGTGGAAGTCAATACCAACGTTAAGCATAATGTACCTAGCCTTAATCAAACTCAAGTCTCATCTTGTTGATTTTAAATCTCATACCAATCAAATAATTAAAGTCAGAGCTCGTATTAAACAACAAATAGTAATGCGTTGGCAAGATATTTGTTAATGGGTTTATTTGCTTCATATTTTGATCCTCGTTTTAAAAATATGAAGTTTATAAATAATACAAAACAAATGGAAATTTTAACAAATAATGGAAACCTCAGATAATGCACCAGATACGACGTCTGTAATTAATAACCGAAATAATTTTTTTGATGATATTCACGAGGAGGTTTCTTCTGTACAAAACGAAATGCAAATATATGCTACGATGTTACAAATTCCAACACATCCTCTCAACGATCCATTATATCTTACGGAAAATCCGCTTATATGGTGGAAATTACATCATAAAGCATTGCCTATTCATGCCAAGCAAGCCCGTAAATATCTTGCAATTCCTGCCTCGTCAGTTCCTTCCAAAAGGTTATTCTCAGATGCTGGTAATGTAATTACAAAAAAACGTAACCGATTAGATTCCGATTGTGTGCATGATATCCTTTTTTTGAACATAATTCAAAGCTTTTTAACGTATATCCCGATCTTGAAAATTAATAGAAAAACTGTAATGGGATAGATTTTAGAAAAACTATAACAGATAGATTCTATGGGTGGATTTTTAAAAACAATATTAGATTGATTTTTTGGTTAGTGTAGTAAAGAAAAAAAAGTACCGGCCGACCAGCCTGGCTGGCTGACAAAAATCTGACGGCCCATATCACTAGTTGGCACATATTTTTTTTCTTATAACACCAAAATAAAAATTTACCAATTGTTAATGTAAAAATTGGAAATATTATTCTTGATAAGCAATACTTTTCTTAACCATAAAATACAAAAAAAGAAATACATCGTTCAGTCTCTAAAGAATCATTATACCAAACATGGAAGCGAACAATGCAACCGTAATCGATGTAAATAAATCAAAATTGCAAGTTAATACTACACTGGAGGATTTGGCTGGTGGGTTACCAGCACTCTTAATAGTAGCGCAATTATCAGCTCGGCTCTTGATAAACAGAATATTCACATTTTAATATTCATTACGAGATGTAATTGAAAAAATGCTTGCATAGAAATTATAACTTATACTTACAGTTAATGTGGCTTTTGGATCGGTACAATTCGCAGCCTTGGAAACTGTTGGCAGTTCATTGGTAGCCACATTTCTCAACCATATTCTTTTATAACCAGAAACGGGTAAATCCGGATTTACTACATTAATCAAATCCTCTAAAACTGCATCCTGCATTACAACCGCCGATTCCAACCAATCACGACCATCATTTGGATTCACGAGACCATCTTCCCGATAGATTTTCTTATTTTTGACAAATTTATAAGGACTGTTATCTTTAGATATTCCATAATTTTTGAGAACGTCATCATAAGTAGGAGCGATAAAACTTTCATCGATCAAAATATCAACGTCAGCTACGTTTTTCAAGAAATCTGCACTAGTATTGAATTTTAGAATAGATGAGTTGAAGTAATTGGCACCAGCATCTTCGGTCAACTGTTTCTTGTAGACGGCATCAACAATAATCCAGGAAGGAGTATTGTTATTATATTGGCTTGGTTTATCATAGCTAACCCATGCGATCAAAGGTTTACTTGAGGATGTTTTATTCTTTGCTAATTCTTTCAGACAGCTATAGTTGTCTAATAACTGGTCGGTTAGAGTTTTCGCAGTTTTTTCGAGATTGAAAAATACCGCGTAGAATTCCAGCCATTCAATTCGGTTTAGAGTGCCAGGATCAATTGGTGCTGATGTACTAACTGAGTTATTAGTCATGTTGTCGGCTAAATAGGCACCAATTGCAAGATCAACTTTTTGAAGCTCTTGAGTCTTTTGTGTGAAATTTTTAGAGAGTGTATTAATACTTGAAGTTCCTAACGATTGAATACAAGGAGAAGAAACACTAGAAATGGTATCTTCAGCTTCATAAGTGATGTTGGAACGAAGACCAAGTAACTAATAAGAGAAATCGGATAAAGATAAAATTAATCATAAAATTATATTGGGAATCAATTATAGCAGCTTGTACCTCTAAATAAGTATTACTGCTGGTATCTAAAACAGCAACAGTCTTTACTGGAACCGAAAATAATTTTGCACCAGCTGGGAGAGCAGCAGCAGGAGGTTTCGGAGTACCACATTGATAAAGGGCGAAAGTCTCATTTGTAAAAGTATTTGTCAATAATTTATAATTCTTTGAGTAGTTGATCGTAAAGTATTTCGCATGTTCGACTAATCAAATTGATTGATTGATTAGAAGTAATGTTTTAGAATTAGATCTTGTATTTGTTAGCTGGGAATTCGTTATTCTATCAAAAAAGAAAGAAGCACAAAAAATACCGGTAATTTTTTCCGGGAAATAATCTTGATTCGGATTATAATCCCCATTAAGGCAGTCTCTCAAATTAGTAGAATCGGCAGCATTTACAAATATTTGAAACGTAAAGACCAATAATATCACGAGGGTGAATCGGGAATTCTGAATCGATATCATATTCGTATATTAAGCAGAAAGTAGTCGTTATTTAAAGTAAAATACTGTGTTTATCGATGCGATATTGTTTCTAATATAAGACAAAGTATTTTCAATAATAGAAATTTATAAATTTCTATTTGACATTAAGACAGAGATACGTGATTTTCCCTTTCTCACCAATCTGATGAGATATTTTTATCCTTGTGAGAAAAGGCAAATTAAATTAATTCGATCCGTTGTCATTTATATACATAAATACATGTTGCCTGATATTTACATGTAGTACTCGCAAATAAAATATACTGTACAGAAACTTGTTCTACCAACGATGAAGAGAAAATATTCATAGTACCAATAAAAAAAGTTTTAGTTTAAAAAAGCAGATCTGGCGCTCTTGCTAACCGGAATTTTTGTGAGACACTAACGATAATAATTTTTAATGGCTAAATTACATTATTAATTAATGATGACTAAATTAATTAATTAAAAACCACATGTTCACAAATTACTTAGCAAAAAAAAAAAAACTGATGAATCAGACAATATCCAATATATAGATTTTTTCTTGTTTATCCTATAAAATTCACGACAAAAAAATGCAATAATATGCTACAAAAAACGAAATCAGCGAAAGCTCTTTTTTAAAAAGCAAAGATACAATTGTTAGTTAAAAATTACAAAGGTACCTGATAGAACCAGAAATTACGTATTTTTTTTACTAAATTTATTAGCTAATAATGAAAAATACGCAAATTTCAGGCTCTAATATAACACCAAAAGATCAATAATAGTTAATACCTCTCGGGAGAAATTGTCTTAAATTCGCCAGCATTCTTCGAATTAGCTTGTATCCGTAGACCAGCTATTTTATATTGAATGATGGACGATTCATAAACACATTTGTCATTTACTAAATTAACAAAACAGAATTCTTTGCCTTCTAATCTAACTCTAAAGAAGATTCTCAATACACACTTACCAGCTAACACAAATTGTCCTACTGTTGAAATAAACCCTGCCAAAAAAGCATTATACGGATATGTACCAGCTAATAATACATACACAAATTGCAAGATGCCCGAAACAAGAATAAACGCTAGATAAGCATCAATGAGTTTTAGATTCTGCGGTGTTTCTTTGTTGTAGGATTTTAGTAGTTTATCGATGACGGGTTTTATAGAAGACATTGTTTTCTGTTAAGGAAGTAGATAACAAACTGTTTATTAAGAAATTTTGTCAATTTGTGATTGGACAAGAGATCTAAAATGTCATTAATTTTAGCCAATCACGATGTAATTAGTGTGGTGCTGAAAGCAATCATGTATTTTTGTATGAAATAATTTAACCAATCAGAATTGTGCATGTGATACAACCAGTGTTGAAAATTCTATTATTATATTGTTCAAAAAAAATACGTTAAATTATAATTCTTATCAAAAGATATTTAATAACGGGATTAAAGTATATCTTTTATAATTTAAAATATTGAATGACTTTAAATTGTGCATATTATAGATATTTGAATTTTAAAATAGCAAATTCAAATAAACCAACATAAAGTATAGTGCAAATGGTTTATAATCATCAAATGCTGCGCCACTGCTAAATTTTTTGAAGAAAGATTATTTCTATATAAAGTAAAATGTAGAATATATATATAATGCTACAAGAAAAAATAATGATGCATTTTTGCGTGAAGGAATTTAATCAATTAAAAGTAATACACGTGATATAATATGCTGAAAATCAAATAATTATTAATAAAAATAAATCTTAAAAAAATTTAACTGCTTACTAATTTTATATTATATTAAATAAAAAATACGTCATATTATAGCTCTTATCAAAGACGACATACTAACGTATTTTTTATAATATATTTGTATTATATATAAATTCTTTGTGACTTAAAGTATTGATAATTATAGATTGTTTGCATCATATAATTAAAATTTTATGTAATTAAATATTTTTTTCTTAATTTATTATTTGAAGTTTTATATGATTTAGTAAACTATATTTTTTAAATTGCTTAATAAATTATCAAATTGACATATATTATTTTATTTATTTTATTTTGTTTTATGAAAAAATTTATTTTCAAATTAATTAAAAATTAAAAATTCATTATATTTATTTTTTTTAAGAATTAGCTATAATAAAAATATCTTATTATAAATATATCTATTATAAAATTCTATTATAACTCTATAAAAAACATGATTTTTTTTTCTAGAAATTTCCAGAATTTAGAAAATCTTCTGGAAAATTTAATCTGATATAAATCTAATAAAAAACTTAATACTAATTTTTAGCTAATTTTTATTAAACTTAGATTATATTAATATTTTAAAATATTAATATTTAATCTAGAAAATATCTAAAATAAGTTTGAAATAAATCAAATAATGATTTTTAATCAGCTTATTTTAGGCTTATCTCAGATTTATTTTAAATATTTTTCAGATTATTTCAAAATATATTTTAAAATATTAATCTAATCTAAGTCTGATAAAAACTAACTAAAAATTAATATTAAGATTTTTATCAGATTTATATTAAATTAAATATAGAAAATAGTCTAGAATATAAAATATTAATAATTAAAAATATTTTATTTTATTTTAATTTTTATTAGTTTTTATTAGATCAAGTACAAAAAATAATTCAGAAAATAAAATATTAATATTAGAAAATAATTAGAAATATTTGATCTTATTCTAATTTTTATTAATTTTTGTTAGATCAAGCATAGAAATATGAAATATTAATATTAAAAAATTTTTAAAAACTTAATTATATTATTTTTTATAATTTTTTCAATTATTTATATAATATTTATTATTTAATACTGTTAAAAATTCAATATATCAAAAAATTTCTATATTTGTTATTATTAGGGTTCTGAAAAAAAGTCTGGTTCAGTTCGAGTCTGGTTCGGTTTAAGCTTGAACCTGACTCGAACCTGACAAAAAGTCCGGTTCAAAAATTTGAACCTAATTAAAAGTCTGGTTCGAGTTCGATTCAAATTTTGAATCTGACTCGAACCTGACCAAAAGTTCGATTCAAGTTCAAGTAAATGTTTGTTGATGTTCTAAGTAAAGTTGTAGATCGTAACATGAGCTACAAATTGATATAAGCTAGTTAATATTTAGGATGAATATTTAAGAAG